TACACACCTGATATTTTTCATAGGTTTCAAACCCCTGCAATTTACTTCTTTTAACAAAATGCAGATTTTGAAATGCTGTACCTGTAATGAGTGATAATGTAATTGGATAAAAGCTGTGAGGATGAATGGAGCTTTAAAGGTCACTCTTGTAAGAAGAATTAATGTGTTATACCATTAATAAACCATGGAAAACTGTGGAGCAAAAGATAACATACTTAAGTTATTGTTAATGACATAGAGTTCACTGCTGTATATCTCTCAGCTACAAATATAGAAACTGACTTTTTGAGGTTGCTGAGCAGTACCACTGTGCATACTGTATATATAAGATAAGCAGGCTTTAACTGTGGTGCAGGAGCTGGACAGACATAGGCTACTTCTAACAAAGGTCTGTCCCTTAATGGAGGACTAGAGGATTGAAAGGCTTTTGAACACTCCACAGGGTCTTTTCCTGCCAACGGCTAGGTCATATCCAACCAAAGTTACAGCAATTAAAACTCATTACCATGTTGAAACCATTTGGTTATCTTAAAAAAGTGAGCATGCCATTTCAAGTTGTCGTCCAGTAGGAGCTAGGCCACAAAAAAAATTTGATAACATTTTTAGCAAAGGGACTAAGGTCCCTAAAAATGGTAGAGAAACTAGTTTACGTTTTTTATCTTGAGAGATAGATCCCTCTGGGAAGGGTCATGGGGAAGCTTGCAGTCGTTTGCCAGGCAGTTCCTTCCACCGTTTGAACGATTGAAGCTGTCAATGCAAGACACAAGTCGTCTGCCCTAGGTGTGCACAGCCCACCTTGCTGGGATGCAGCTGAGCTGCCACTTTGCACTGCCACTAACTTCAACTCAAAACCGTTCTCTGAAAGCTGTTGGTTCCCGGGGCATGGAGAAATGCTCATGTATTCTTCAGTTGTCTCTGGAAGATGTAAACTTACAGCCTCCTGTGATGAAGAGTTGGGCATACAGATACGTAGTCCTTTTCTAGAGCTCTCCTTATAGTGCATAAATTATGCTACAGACTGAGCAGTCACAAATGTCATGGCTTCATGTATGCCTTTAAATCCAAGCATTTCTTTTTGGGAACAGGCATATGTCCGTGTACTAAAAACAGAAACAACTTCTCCCTGCCCTTTGCCATTATCTTCAACATCTCTATGCTAGTTTGGCAATCCTTGTAACGAAGTGCGTTTTATGTAATGCAGTTCCCCTCTCTGTCAATAATTCACCACCTACCCTAAACAACAATAATTTACATTCAACTCACTTCTATATTAATCATTTCCCTGCACACCAGCATCTTGGCAGCTACTAAAAAACATAAGGAGTGCTTGCTTTTATTCACTGTCATGTGCCAAACTGTCTCAAAGATAGCAGTATTCAGGAAAAGCCAAATAGTCTGAAGAAGGGCATGAATTCCAGTTCCTAGGCAAATTCGGCTATATTGCAGATTGAAATTATTATACCTAGTGTAATCAAGAGCACAACCAGCAGTAATACTACTGTTTGTTTGTTTGTTTGCTTCCTTTTTAATTTATTCTGACTGCATGCAAGCTTGATCAGTAACAGATGCAAAGTGGGGAAGAAACCAAGCAAGTTGATAAAATGGAGGTGAAAACCAAAAAAAAATCAGCTGGTAGTACTGTGCTGGTGCAGGTTATATCCTCCCTTATGCTGGGAAAGCTGGAATTACTGGAATTCCATTGGCTGGGAATTACTGACTGGGTCATTTGATAAAAGCAATGTGGATCAATTTATTTCATATAGAACTCTCAGGGTTCCTGAGTATTTAGCCAAAAGCTAATTGATAGTACAATTGACACCAGTCAAACCGCACAGAAACTTTTCTTGCTCGTTCTTGCACGCCAAGGAAGACGGGAATACCAGACCCATTCTGTCTGCAGTCTAAAAACACAGCAATAAAAACCCAAACCAAACTAAAATCCTGACAGCAGCGCAGCACCGAACTAATCTGACATCAACTTCTTCCCCTGAAATGTTTTAAGCAGCAAGACAATGTCCTACGTTTTTTGGCAATCAGCAGATCAGATAGAAGAGTCTAGCAATACAACAAGGATGTGTAATCTGACATGATTAGACAAGGCTCTTTAGGAACAGAACATTCATAATTGAGACAAAGAAAGAGTATTAATAACACTTTCCTAACACGGCAGTTAGCCATTTTATATTTCCTTTCTTTAATCTTAGTGTTTTTCAACAAATCATGGGATTTAATAGCGTGTTTTGGCAGATTAGAGGATTTATGGCCCAGATGTTTTTTGTTCTAAAAATGGATTAGGGTGTAAAGTTTGCTGGAATCCATGGAACATGTTGAGGCAAGCCGGTCATTTTGTGTGTGATTAGTGCCTGCCTTCTGTCTCACAGTCCCTCCATCTGTCACAATTCACCAATGGATCTGGTTAGATTTAGCCTCATGTCACAAACAGAAGTCCCTTTTCTGGGCAATTTCATATTACAGATTCATTTTATGCCGTTTTTATGCCCTAGTTAAAAGACAGAAAGAAGTGTGTGCGTGCGCGCGCGTGTGGGGACGTGGAGAGGGGGAGGGAGATTGATAGATATTAGCCTCTCCTTTAATGTTTGAAAAATAGACTGGGGCTTGGAGTCTCCCATCAGTATTCTATCCTACAAATCACATGCAGATCATAATAAGTATAATCTACAGTACGCTAAAGGAAAAAAATGACAAAGTGTCACATTTAAAATTAAATAGTATTAGCTGTGCCGGTGATGCTTGTAACATTTTAAAAGGAAATAATTCAGTGACTACTAAGGCTAAGCCCTAGGCTGTGAATTTGCAGCAAAACAGTGGACATTTGACCTACTATTAGCAGCATGAATAGGAGTGGGAATGTAGGTCCGTGTAGCTGTGGTTTCTTATACATTTCTGAATGACAGGTGGTGGTGGGGAGCATTCAGTGGATGAGGTTTCTCTTCCCAGCCATTATGCATTTCATATCTATAGCAAAGCACCGCCACCTGTGGTTTATTTTAATGTATTCACAAGTTTTAAGAAGGGGAAGAATGAAATGGTCTATTTTTAAGTTTGGGATTGCTGGCATGATCAAAGCTTCCCCTAACTCTTATCCGGTTACATCCTGCTGCATAGAAACCACAGGGCTAACCTCTGCAGCGTCAGGGAAATATTGAAACTAATGGGATCAAGTATCAGGACGATGATTTTGGCACTGAGGTTTCTCATGCTTTCTGTCCAGGTGGCTCTATCATAACAATAATAGAACTGCAAAGCACGGATGGGTTTCTGGGCATTACCTTTTAACTCTTTCACATTAATAATGATAAACTGTTGGTGCAGTTCATCGACGAAAGCTAAAGTGTTTTCTTGTGACTTTCTTTTTTTAAGACATCCTTTCTTCTATCACGTCGTCAGGTTATTTAAATGACCACGATGCTGTTACCAAGGCAATCCAGGAGGCCCGACAGATGAAGGAGCAGCTTCGGAGGGAACAACAGGTGCTGGATGGGAAAGTGGCCGTTGTGAATAGCCTGGGTCTCAATAACTGCAGGACAGAAAAGGTGAGTTTCCGAGCCTCCCTTTGCAAAGGGTCAGAGATTGCTTTTGGCTCTCCCTACAGATACATAGGTTCTTCCTCCTCCCCTAAACAGAATGGTTGTTGCTTTCAAAAAAAGGGAACCATAAAATGAAAACCACAACCAAAAGCTGACATGAGAGAGAGACCTGGAGACCCTTGGGGGAGAGCGGAGGGGAGGCAAAGATAGTTAAAGCACTCACAAAAACTTTGGAGGTCGCTAATTCTCTGCTCCAGCCTGTCAACATGTATTATGAGAAGGTGATCTTGGAAATCTCTAGGTCTAAGTGCAAATCTTGCTGTATGGAAATGCTTACATGTGTTTATGAGATGAGCTGGATTTGAAAATATTGAAGCTTCTTTAGGAACATAAGCTTTGCTGATACTCAGGCTCAGCTTCTGGGTATTTAGCCTTGTGAAGTTGTCATATGTGATATTTTTTGACTATTGCAATGTAGCACTGTCATGTCATGTTAGATGACTTAACAAAATTGAAAAACTGGAGAATTGACAACACACAGTGCACCAAATACTTGTAGTGAAACTGCAACGTATAGGCCTTACCACCTTCTGCTTTTGAACTGGCCTGTAAAGTTGTGCTATAACAAAATATCAACACAGTGAATATTCTCTAGTAAAATTAGTATGTACCATAACTGTCATGCATGTCAAAGAGGTTGTGATTTGCTGCTTTTCTCTGGAAGTAACGGATGTTTTTCTGTGCACTGCCCTGGCTTATAGAGGATAAACAGGCCTGCCTGTCCTTGCCGCCACAGTTATTGTGAGCCGTCCTTATGATGGTGCCACCTAAGGTACGCATCCAAACTCTGGTGTGCATCTCAACTTCATACGCTCAGCAAGACTTTCTTCTCAGTTCCTCTCTTCCCCTGCAATATTTTCTGAGGTGATACAGCCTTCGTCGTGCAGTACAACAAAGATGACCGTTGTTGCGTTTGGTGTAAGCTGAATTTTATTGAAACTGCTTGGAGTGGCTTTTCACTGTAAGGCCTTGTGTGAATCACTGAGATAGGCAGATAAATAGAATGAATAAAAATGATCAGCTATTTAGCAGAAACTCGAAAGTCAGTCATCCTAGGAAGCTTGTGCATCAAACAATATTGTCCAGAATGAGCAGATTGCTAATTTGGATAGCTTTCCATTTTCCCTGGTTTTAGATGGGGTTTGATCAATAAGCTATGAGAAGCCAGCAGTCTGGGTAATGAATGTTAAATGTACATGTGAGTCTCACTACTGTACTTTTTCCATCAGCCTATCCTGGGTGTAAGTGATGTAGAAATTACTCCAATTTCATGCACTTTCTTGAAAGGACGGGGGAGGGAAAAAGAGGTCAATGTAATAGGAATCTGGCAGTACATACAATCTCTCTTAGAAGAATAAGAGCACTGGTACGGGCAGAGAGAAAGAAAGAGAGGGATGGAGCATGTTTACGGCATTTCACATAGAAGAGTACCAGAAGGGAAAAGGGAGAAGCAGAGTGTCAGATAGAAGAAGAAGTGATCACAAGCACAAAGGAATTTATATTCAAATATTTAAGCATTCTTGAAAGGATGCTCGGAGCAGAAATTTCTTTTCTCTGCTCCCCATGTAGAAATGACTTTAACACTCAGCCAGATGCTAATGCAAAGTGACTCAAGCTATTCCTCGCAAGCATAGCTAAATTGCCGTTATTTGTTAAGCGCATTGAATTCAGCTGTGGATACAGCAGTTGGTTGCATTCAGAAAGCATCTGTACCCTTTTTTTTTTCCCCTTTTTTTTTTTTTTTTAATCCTCCAAAGCAGAGACAACTCTACCTATCTCCCCCCTCTCCTCCCTTGTGCTGGCTGGGAATTGTCAAGTGACAACCGACCAAATCCTTTTGGACAGGAAGCCTTCATCCTGGGTTCTATATACTTGCAAAGCAGGCCTTGTGGTTGGATCAGGAAGCCCATTAAAAGCACTTTGATGGTATGGAAATTCATCTTCATGAAGCACCCAGGCCCCTAAGCAGCATGCTGTTTAGTTGTGGTTACAGATCAGTCATTCACATCGGAGGGCAGTAATTGTGCTGACGGCTTGTTCGGCAATGGAAGTACATAAAATAATCCCAGGCCCTCCACCATGGCATTGCGAGTTAATCTTCTTTAATACAGATCAGCTGTTGTTCTAACACATGACTTTATGCTGGCTCTAGTGACTCTGCACAGCCTTTTGATTAAGTAACAGGAGTGGAACCATCTGCATTCACTTTATTCTGTTACTTTCCTATTGTTGGGATTCTCCTTACCCCTTCTGTTTTCACTTCTCACCCTCAACCCCAGTTGAAGTTTATTTTCCTCTCTAATTCATGCCTCCTGGTGGGCTTGTGGAGGGCAGAGAGGAGTTCTTTTACAAGGTAGCAGGAAGAAAAAATTGTTTGCTCAATTGAAAATTTTTCTAAAGCAACTGTAGGGTTTGGGGTTTCTGATGCAGTAAATGTCAAAACTTTTTTGGAGTGCACTGATTTATTTTATTTTAATATTTTATTTTATTTTAATTTATTTTATTTTATTGTAAGTGGAGAGAGGGAAGGACAGAAACAAGTTTAAGCTCTCTTAGACTGTAACGGCATTTGGGTTGCTGGAACGATCTCCTAAGCCATTAAACGCTCATCAAGAAGTTGCACTTTTTATCTTGTTGTAAGATCTTCTGAGCTGTCCTTGCATTTGATCCAACAGAGGAAAAGACAGAGGCTGTGAAGTTTAGGTACCTGTTCTCCTTTCCTGTGTATGCTCTAGGCCATCCAGACAAACACCTAACTTCTCTAAAGTTTTTGGTTGTTTGATCTAGGACTTTAAAGTTTTCTCTCTTGTTAAGAGCAGGATTTGAGAGGAAGGCAAGTGTTGCCATTTTGAATTGAATTTTACTGGTTTTCCCTATTTTCAGGGGCAAGAAGAAGAAAGAGTTGGGAAGGTGGGTAGTGAGACATAGAGTGCTGCAGTGTTACCACTAAGTGTTTCACTTCAGAAGCTCAGGGTCCCACAGGGACTTTGAGGCAGCCCCCTGAACTTTTTGGACCTTACATTTGCTTCCTGACAGGGAAATTTTCAGGTGGGGGATGGAATTAAAAGAGGGTTAGTCTAATGTAGCTCTGTGTGGCATACTCATACTTAGAAATGTACATTATGTCTGTAGTTACGTACAGAAGAAAGATCCCTCTCCTTCCTGTAGAGTGATCTCAATCTTTATAGGCAAGAAACACCCATCTGGAGCTATCCCCAATTATTCTCCCTTCTTTGCTGCAGTGGCTAGGGTAGTTATGGATACCTACGGTTGGTTCTCTGAGACCTGTTGAGGTTTTTGTTGCATGAATTGCTGCTGCAGCTTACCAGTGAAGGTGGGTTCTGTGCAGTTCTGAACGGGTGTGTTGGACTTTTGGTAGGAATTTATCTTCAACAGCGGCCAGGCGGGCTCAGGACGGGAAGTCACCTTTGTGCGTCTCTGTTAAAGCTCTTGGGGCTTTTCTTCACGCATGTACATCACCTGCTTGTCTGGCTCGTGTTCCCAGCTGGATTGATCCCTGTGGACAGCCAGACCTGCCAGCTGTAAGGCGGTAGTCAGACAGGAATTTTGTGGAATTGGAGAGAAACTGTATAAAAGGAGTCATAAATGAGAAAAGATTTTAAAAAATGGCTAGGATGAATTGGGTGAGTCACTTTATGGGCATCCAACTTGGACCATCTTGAGGGGTTTGATTTTCAGAGGATTACAGTAAAAACTGAGCATCATGATGAACATGGATTTTACTAAAACCTATTTTAATTGCAAATGCAATAAAACATATTTTTACATTACTTTTCTTGGAAACATTTCCATGTATAAATGAGAAGTGTGTGTATATGTTTTTCTGGTTTCCTGGAAACCCAGGATCATAGTTTTACTTCTAATTGTCATCTACAGTTAATTATAGCTTGATACATACTATACATAAACAACGTTACCTTCTATACATGTAGCTTAGAGTGCAGATTGTCCTCTAGTGCAAACACCACAACGGGCAGCATCAGCAAGTGGACTCTGCTCTATTTGCTCAGCCCCAAAACTGCTGTTCCTCCGCCCCGGAGACGCACACAAACACAAGAGCCAGCACGTGTGTGCAGGCGTACGAGCCTACAGTGCACTTTCAGCGGCACGCGGCACGAACGCGCACCCAGCTCGCCAGCGGTTTCCTGCCTGTAGTCAGACTCGCCAGCACACGTACGTACGTACCCTGGGAAGTGGAAGAAAGGAGGAAGGGGGCACACGGGCGGGCGTTCGAGCACACGCCTGTGTGCGCCGGTACAGACGCAGGTGCTGGTTTCCGAGCGCTGGTGCCGCTGCTAGAGGCGGGGGCGGTTGTGTAAGTAACAGGCAGCCACACAAGCGCTTCGCACGTGTACCGAGGCAGTCGCGCTTGTAGCACGCGCCGAGCGCATCCCGGTACGTCTGCCTCCCGCGCCGAAGTGTTTCTTAACCTGTGATACAAGTTCTCCCTGTTACCGCTTGGAGTGTGTCCTTTTAAAAGGCTCTGACATGTACTTGTCTGCTGGGCTGGAACTAAAGAGCTATTTGTAACAATATTTATTCCAGCGTTGTAAGCAGGAGCCTATTTATTACTCATGCTTATGGAACATCGGGTTCAGGATGCCTTTCCTCCCATTCCCACCCACCACCCCCCCCCCCCCCCCCCCCGCCTCTCCCTCTTCCCCTTAGGAGAGTGCCAAATGTGAAATGACAGTGACCAATGTTGACTTAATGTGGATGTTTAATAATGAAAAAAGTGTGTCAGTTCCAGCGTTAGTTACAAATGGCAGTAAGTATATCAGGTGGCAGCCCTGTAATAATTTTACATCCATCATTCCTTCCTGATGCCTTGCTGGCTGCCTGATGGATGGGGATAGCAGAGTTAACTCTTAAGAAACTGCTGTGATCTGCTGAGCTGAAATGAATTCTGTCCCTGCTCTCCCCTC